CAGCTCAACGCACATTTCAACAAATAATTTGAGAAAATAAAAAAGAGGCTTACTAAATTATCTATTATTTTTACGATACTGCACTGTCTGTTTCAACAGCATTCCGCGAGTTTTATCGTTTTATTTGCCGTCAATGAGTAACAATTTGTCGCGAATGAATGAGAAATGAAAATATGGCAACGCTGCGTGTGCACGCATCGACAGGTGAAGAGAAAGGGCGGCGGAAAAGCGAGGTGAAGGGGGAGGGGTTGCTTGGCTCCGCCTGACGGTGCATGGCGGAAGCTGCGGAAGAAGAGTGGAAGGGGGGCGGCGGAGCAGGCGACGCAATACAGTAGCAGACGACCGCCAGAGTTTGACAACACACCTTTGGCTCTTCGCAACGCATGTTCCGTGCACGGATGCTACGGGGAGCGAGTGACGCTGTACTGTCGGATACTGCCAGTGTGATAGACAACACGTTTTCTGTACACGAGGTAAGTTCCATGATTTCATTAATTATGTTTTATGTGTATTCGTATGGAGAGTCGATACCGCCGTGGCCTGGGCCTCGGCAAGCCGGCTTCGAACGAGTGTCAAAATATTGTTGTGTGAGGTAGTGCCAGTAGCGCCAACTCGGGCCGTCACCCGCGTAGCAGGGCGCGCACAGCAGACTGATTCCGAACAGTCGTTTCGTAGTGCTGTCTTTGTCGCACCCTTCCGGGCAGCCCGTGAGTGCGAGAGAGACAGATCCATGAAAGGTCGTTTTGTCTCTGTCTCTCTCGCACTCACGGGGCTTCCTGTAACGGTGTGTCGCCCAATCTGCATGTGCACTCCACTTGAAAATTTCTGACGAGAGCGAAGCCACCACGCTGACAAGTCAGCCGCCTCTGTGCTTCGGCTCCCGCTCGGCTCCGAGATCGGCACCGGCTCAGCTCGACTCGTCACCGTCCGGCGGCGGGCGGCTCGCTCGCCTCGAGAATCAGCTGATTTCTGAACTGACGCACGGCCGAGTCGAAGCAGGTCAAGGTCAAGCCGAGCGAGCGGCAGCGGCCCGGCGGCCGGTGACGGGTGGCGCTGAGCTGGATTTTGCAGTGGCGTTGCGGTAGCGTGCGTGAAATGTTCAAGTGGAGTGCACTTTGGGCGTCTGTTCTATGCTACTTCATTGGCGGCCTTCCCAGACCCGCGTAGACCCGCAGCTTCCCTCGGGGCACAGTGGGCCAGAAGACCGGTGGAGGCGGCCAAAACTCTAGACGCGGTTTGAGCTCCAGAGTCGCTAAATGGGGCTCGAACCGAACGTGTGACCCCACCAATGGATTGCTCTCCGAACGAGGAATCCATTGTAGGGGTCAAACGTTCCTTTCAAGTCCTGTTTAGCGACTCTGGAGCTCAAAAGGCGTCTAGAGTTTTGGCCGCCTCCACCGGTCTTCTGGCCCACTGTGCGGGGCCGCGACCTCTCTTTATCCGCGGCTCACGTTGCGAGCCCGCGACCCACGCCCCACTCCAGCGCGTATCTTCGCGTCCCCTCCTGCGACGCAACGTCGTCTGGACGGCGAGGCGATCTGCCCCTGCCACCAAGGCCAAGGGTGCATAAAAGAATTTTTTTTTCTTCGACTCGACGTGTCTTTGGAAGAGCAAGTCGAGAAATGAAGGCCCACCAAATTTGAGCCCTCTCCGACGTCTGGAACCCGGGGCGGCGCCCCGCGGCCCGCGGTTTGGTGTTTGGGGGCAAAGCGGCAACCCGCACGGCACGCGCCTTCCCGCCCCGCACCAGAGCGGCCCGTGATGCAAACCATGGTTCGCGCCGAACCTTGGGGTGCCTTCCTGACGGCCTGGGTGATTTGGTGGAGTTATGGGGCTGTCGATTTTTTGACCCTTATCAAAGTTGAAAATAAAAAAATTTTGACCAGGAAATGCAACCTGAAGTGGCTTCGCCGGTTGAAATCAATGAGAACACGGTAGAAGATCATGATTTAGGCAAAACTTGCCCACCCTGTGCCCTCTAACCACTTTCATAAACACACAAACTGCTAATTTGGGAGTTTTACTTAAATATGGGAATATCTGACCTTGCCCCAACTTTTAAAATTCACCACTGTGCATTTAAAATTGCCTTAGGGTACTGCCTAAAATAACAGCAGAAATCTGAGGTGGTGAAATAAAAATTTCACTAAGCGTTCCAGAAAGCGCAAATTTGACATAGAACTTTTCCGCAAACTTTCACAGTGTGAGCCTATGTTTTAGTAATTAGTGTTTCTAAGTCATTAAATATGAACAAAATGAATGTGTATAGAAGTCTGAGGACTACTTAGAGCAACAAACTCACTATTGTCAAAAGTTACCCATCAGGAGTGCACAGAAGCATTGAAGCGGAAATGGAAAATAAGTCAATTCCACTTACTAAGGAAATGCAAAAAAAAAACCATGCTGCAGGGTTTTGTTTTTTGGCGTTTTGACTGCAAATATTTCTCCTATCTATACAAATGACAGATCATCAGGCAAAGATCTGGCAAGATCTGGCAAATATTTAACTTATCCCAAGTTTCAGAGTAGTGTACTGAACCTATCCATTTTCAGAACCTAACTTGAAATCAGAAAAGTCATCTTAATGTGATCTAAAGAGGTATATCATATTCGTTTTGTTGCATAAAATTAGCTTACTATGAGAAGAACTAAGCCTACCAGTTTAAACTCTGAACGCCCAACCATTTTTTATATTGAAAGGTTTACGCTATTTTGACACTTATAGCGTTTACATTTATAACTCAAGAACAGATGAGAGTAGCATGTTTAGACTGCTGACCTGAGTTATCCTGTTTGTAAGGTAATTTAGAATATAAAATTAAACCCTCTTAGAGCATATATGAAGAAAAAATGTGAGAATAATATTTTTTTTTTACCTGAAACTTTTGACAATAGTGAGTTTGTTGCTCCTATTAGTCCTCAGATCTCTATACACATTTATTTTGTTCATATTTAATGACTTAGAAACACTAATTACTAAAACATAGGCTCACACTGTGAAAGTTTGCGGAAAAGTTCTATGTCAAATTTGCGCTTTCTGGAACGCTTAGTGAAATTTTTATTTCACCACCTCAGATTTCTGCTGTTATTTTAGGCAGTACCCTAAGGCAATTTTAAATGCACAGTGGTGAATTTTAAAAGTTGGGGCAAGGTCAGATATTCCCATATTTAAGTAAAACTCCCAAATTAGCAGTTTGTGTGTTTATGAAAGTGGTTAGAGGGCACAGGGTGGGCAAGTTTTGCCTAAATCATGATCTTCTACCGTGTTCTCATTGATTTCAACCGGCGAAGCCACTTCAGGTTGCATTTCCTGGTCAAAATTTTTTTATTTTCAACTTTGATAAGGGTCAAAAAATCGACAGCCCCATAACTCCACCAAATCACCCAGGCCGTCAGGAAGGCACCCCAAGGTTCGGCGCGAACCATGGTTTGCATCACGGGCCGCTCTGGTGCGGGGCGGGAAGGCGCGTGCCGTGCGGGTTGCCGCTTTGCCCCCAAACACCAAACCGCGGGCCGCGGGGCGCCGCCCCGGGTTCCAGACGTCGGAGAGGGCTCAAATTTGGTGGGCCTTCATTTCTCGACTTGCTCTTCCAAAGACACGTCGAGTCGAAGAAAAAAAAATTCTTTTATGCACCCTTGGCCTTGGTGGCAGGGGCAGATCGCCTCGCCGTCCAGACGACGTTGCGTCGCAGGAGGGGACGCGAAGATACGCGCTGGAGTGGGGCGTGGGTCGCGGGCTCGCAACGTGAGCCGCGGATAAAGAGAGGTCGCGGCCCCGCACAGTGGGCCAGAAGACCGGTGGAGGCGGCCAAAACTCTAGACGCCTTTTGAGCTCCAGAGTCGCTAAACAGGACTTGAAAGGAACGTTTGACCCCTACAATGGATTCCTCGTTCGGAGAGCAATCCATTGGTGGGGTCACACGTTCGGTTCGAGCCCCATTTAGCGACTCTGGAGCTCAAACCGCGTCTAGAGTTTTGGCCGCCTCCACCGGTCTTCTGGCCCACTGTGCCCCGAGGGAAGCTGCGGGTCTACGCGGGTCTGGGAAGGCCGCCAATGAAGTAGCATAGAACAGACGCCCAAAGTGCACTCCACTTGAACATTTCACGCACGCTACCGCAACGCCACTGCAAAATCCAGCTCAGCGCCACCCGTCACCGGCCGCCGGGCCGCTGCCGCTCGCTCGGCTTGACCTTGACCTGCTTCGACTCGGCCGTGCGTCAGTTCAGAAATCAGCTGATTCTCGAGGCGAGCGAGCCGCCCGCCGCCGGACGGTGACGAGTCGAGCTGAGCCGGTGCCGATCTCGGAGCCGAGCGGGAGCCGAAGCACAGGCGGCTGACTTGTCAGCGTGGTGGCTTCGCTCTCGTCAGAAATTTTCAAGTGGAGTGCACATGTAGATTGGGTGACACACCGTTACAGGAAGCCCCGTGAGTGCGAGATAGACAGAGACAAAACGACCTTTCATGCCTAGATCTGTCTGAAGGTGCGTGCCGTGCGGGTTGCCGCTCTGCCCCCAAACACCAAAACGCGGGGCGAGGCGGGGTTCTTGTCGTCGGAGAAGGCTCAAATTTGGTGGCCCTTCATTTCTCACCATGCTCTTCCAAAAAAAAAGGAACGTCGAGTCGAACGTTTTTTTGTGGGCCCTAGGCCCATAGTGCCCAGCCAAGCACTCCGAGGCGATGGGATAGGCAACCAAACGTACCTCGGTGTATCACAGAGAAACAATGCGCGCTAAAGCGCAATATTTTTCTCTTTTGAAAATCTTGTTGTAAAATCATCAGAGACATCGTGCTATTTTATGTCCGTTTGCATTGTTTTCGGTCTAATGTTTGACTGTTTGGAATTGTTCTGGTCACCTGCGATTTTGACTGGAACTTTCCAATTGGCCCTATCCAATCGGACAGTCAGGAAGTCTCTAGAACATCAATGTTTGTCACTATTCTTGTGTTGCTGGAGTGAAAATAACAATTATATTCTGCTACAGGTCCTAATCTGGTTTCGATGGATCCTGGTACTTCGAGAGTGACTCGCAGTCAGGCTCAAAAGCGGCCGATGACCTCTGTAAGTCTTTGTAGGTTGTAACGTTCATAGACATAGTTTCAGTAATATTTCTTATAATGGCAGGGTGTTTGTTTTCGTTTGGGACAAACAGAGGGTGGATAGGGCATGCCAACGGGTCTCTTCTGCAACGTAAACGTTTAACAACGCAGGACATTGCGATTCGGAAAGGAGCTTGCCGTCTCGGTAGGCAACCAAGCTCGCGCTGCTGTGTTGTGGGCAGCCTGCGCCACGGCGCTGCTGCTTTCACGTGCATGCGGCGCGCGGCGGTGGCCAGCAGTTACACTCAAACGAAAACGGCAAGACCTCTGAGTTCTCGCGAGCCCGCAACTCAGAGGTCTTGCCGTTTTCGTTTGAGTGTAACTGCTGGCCACCGCCGCGCGCCGCATGCACGTGAAAGCAGCAGCGCCGTGGCGCAGGCTGCCCACAACACAGCAGCGCGAGCTTGGTTGCCTACCGAGACGGCAAGCTCCTTTCCGAATCGCAATGTCCTGCGTTGTTAAACGTTTACGTTGCAGAAGAGACCCGTTGGCATGCCCTATCCACCCTCTGTTTGTCCCAAACGAGAACAAACGCCCCGTCGAATAAAACATAATTTATAGTACTAACGGAAGGTTTCCTAAAGCAACGATTCCTTGCCCTCTTTCAGGATAGCAGTTCTAAGGCTAAACGAGCTGGGGAGCCATCTAAGACAGCCGGGCGCACCACCGAAGCCGAGGCCGCCAGACAGGCCACCGAGACCACCAGGACGGCCACCGAGACCGCCAGGCAGCTTGCCGAAGCCGAGGCCGCCAGACAGGCCGCCGAGTTAGGCAGACAGGCCGCCGAGAATGGCAGGCTGGCCGCCGAAGCCGAGGTGACCAGGATGGCCACCGAGATGGCCAGGGTGATATCTGAAGCCGAGGCTGCCAGACAAACCGCCGACACTGCGAGGCTGGCCGCTGAGGACAAGGTCACTAGTTTGACGGCGGAGGTGGCCTGGTTGAAAGCCGAGGTTTCGAGGCTGACGGCCATCAACGAGGCCGCCAAGTTGGCTGCCAGGCAGGCTGCTGAGGCCGAGGTCTCCAAGCAGGCCGCCGAGGCCGAGACAGCCAGGCAGGCCGCCGAAGCAGCCACGAAGCAGGCAGCCCAGGCTGGCGCCGAGCTGGAAGCTACAAGGGCCGAACTGGCCAAGGTCAAGTCACAGCTGGATGGTGCAGGCAACACGGTTTTTGAGGTGTGTAACTGAGCGCAGTAGATATATCATTTGATATGTGCATTGTGTTTTTGAATTTATGACTAATATTTATGAAGCATTTAGACTGAGACGGAGATAGATTTCGAGAGGTTGAAGGGAGTAGCCACTGATGGCCAATACCACCTTCTCTTGGAAGCCTGTCGCGATCCTCTCCTCAAGAAGCTTCTCATGGTAATGGTCTCTCTCGTTAACGCCACCAGTCTCGTTCCCAATTCAACTTTTATAACTGTATTTGATATACCTCTTTATATCTCTTTTTCCAGGGCCAAGTAATTGAAGGAGAAATTTTTGTTTCACCGGACCTGGAATTCCTGGAAGTGACCACGGAACTCCGTGGTCAAAGCCAGAAGAGGGATTCTTGGCCGAACCTTGTGTCGAGGGGACAGCGGCCGCTATCCATGAAGGTATTCCAGAAGTTCTTGTACAAGATGGGGCCCCCAAACAGCAGCAGCCGGCATATGTTGCTGGTGCTGTTTGTATACTTGGGTGGAGTTTTTTGGCCCGACAAGAAACCTGTAATTGTGCCTAAAGAAATTCTGGAGACTGTAAAGGATGTCTTGGAGATACCAGATGAGTATCAAGTAAGCTTCTGCAACCTAATGCTTAAATTTTACCTCTTTATTTCTCATGGTGGAAAATGAAAATACTTTTTTCTGTCTGTTTTTAGACGGTGCAGTCCGAAACTTCGCCTAGGGCAAAGTCATTCAACTGCCCACTCTGTGACACAGTTCAAATCAGCAGGAACGCAAAGCAGCATCTTGTCTTGCGGTGCCCCAACCGTGAAGTGACCAGCCAAGACAAGAGAGAAACTATTGCCCGTCTCATCAGGAACAATATTCTCACTGTCAGCAACCGGCAGCTCGTTAAGCTGGAGAAATTTGTTCTTCCCGAATCTCATTTAACCATGAAAATTGCTGTGTACTGTTGGGGTGGAGTAATTTTAAACGCCGATTACAATTTGATGTCAATTTATGACATGTTTGGTGTAAGTTTACGTGCTGTCTGAAGTTTGCTTTCAATCGTTGTCAAGCACTCTAGCGTGAGAATATTTTTTACGACTTTCGTATTTTAATTTGGGTGATGGTCACCTCATAAGAAGTACTTAATTGTGACAACAACATAGAGAAATCATTTAAAAGAAATTTTCTGAAAGAAATTGTCCCAGAACGTATTAAAATGGCTGAAATTGTCAGAAATGGATCAAAAGTAATAAAATTAAAATAAACCAAAGTTAAGAAAGAAAACAATGCCTTCATTTCCCCTTCATCCTCAGAGGCGCAAAGAGGGAAAACAAGTAAAACAAAAGAAGCATTAGAAAAAAAAATGTAACACAAATAACGGCATCCACTATTTTACGAAATCAAAGACAATAGACCAAAAGGAAAAATTTATCGAGTGGACAAATTTTCTGCATGCCCCTGCCTGCCCTTCGACGAGTCGGGCGACGTCTCGGGAGGGGCAAAGAAGCCTTGGCATGCGGGTTTGGGAGACAAGGGGCCCCGCTGGGCCCCTCCGTCTGGGAGCCCCGGTTAGGCGATGCATATCTTGCCTACATTATACGCGACCGAGCTGCCGGCTCTTCGACGAGTCCGGCGACGTCTCGGGAGGGGCAAAGAAGCTCTGGCATGCAGGTTTGGGAGACAAGGGGCCCCGCTGGGCCCCTCCGTCTGGGAGCCCCGGTTAGGCGATGCATATCTTGCCTACATTATACGCGACCGAGCTGCCGGCTCTTCGACGAGTCCGGCGACGTCTCGGGAGGGGCAAAGAAGCTCTGGCATGCAGGTTTGGGAGACAAGGGGCCCCGCTGGGCCCCTCCGTCTGGGAGCCCCGGTTAGGCGATGCATATCTTGCCTACATTATACGCGACCGAGCTGCCGGCTCTTCGACGAGTCCGGCGACGTCTCGGGAGGAGCAAAGAAGCTTTGGCATGCAGGTTTGGGAGACAAGGGGCCCCGCTGGGCCCCTCCGTCTGGGAGCCCCGGTTAGGCAATGCATATCTTGCCTACATTTTACGCGACCGAGCTGCCGGCTCTTCGACGAGTACGGCGACGTCTCGGGAGGGGCAAAGAAGCTCTGGCATGCAGGTTTGGGAGACAAGGGGCCCCGCTGGGCCCCTCCGTCTGGGAGCCCCGGTTAGGCAATGCATATCTTGCCTACATTTTACGCGACCGAGCTGCCGGCTCTTCGACGAGTACGGCGACGTCTCGGGAGGGGCAAAGAAGCTCTGGCATGCGGGTTTGGGAGACAAGGGGCCCCGCTAGGCCCCTCCGTCTGGGAGCCCCGGTTAGGCGATGCATATCTTGCCTACATTATACGCGACCGAGCTGCCGGCTCTTCGACGAGTCCGGCGACGTCTCGGGAGGGGCAAAGAAGCTCTGGCATGCAGGTTTGGGAGACAAGGGGCCCCGCTGGGCCCCTCCGTCTGGGAGCCCCGGTTAGGCAATGCATATCTTGCCTACATTTTACGCGACCGAGCTGCCGGCTCTTCGACGAGTACGGCGACGTCTCGGGAGGGGCAAAGAAGCTCTGGCATGCGGGTTTGGGAGACAAGGGGCCCCGCTGGGCCCCTCCGTCTGGGAGCCCCGGATAGGCAATGCATATCTTGCCTACATTTTACGCTACCGAGCTGCCGGCTCTTCGACGAGTCCGACGACGTCTCGGGAGGGGCAAAGAAGCTCTGGCATGCGGGTTTGGGTGACAAGGGGCCCCGCTGGGCCCCTCCGTCTGGGAGCCCCGGATAGGCAATGCATATCTTGCCTACATTATACGCGACCGAGCTGCCGGCTCTTCGACGAGTACGGCGACGTCTCGGGAGGGGCAAAGAAGCCTTGGCATGCGGGTTTGGGAGACAAGGGGCCCCGCTGGGCCCCTCCGTCTGGGAGCCCCGGTTAGGCGATGCATATCTTGCCTACATTATACGCGACCGAGCTGCCGGCTCTTCGACGAGTCCGGCGACGTCTCGAGAGGGGCAAAGAAGCTATGGCATGCAGGTTTTTGTGGATGGTGGCCTTTCCCTCACTTCTCTATCGGTGGAAAAATTCTAAATTGATGAGACTGGACGGAATTTCCGTGCGGTCGAGCAGGTGGGCCTGTGCTGTGGTGTGCTGCTAGTGCTGTCCGTCGGAGGACCTTGGGATATCCTTGCGCTGTTCGTAGTCGTGAGGCTGGTGATGACGTCATGGACGTCCCATAACCCTACTTTGCTCATCGATTTAAATACGACTCTTTCCTTATTTCTGACAAGTTGTCGTTGGTTTGGCGGTTTCGTGGCGATGTCCGCCAACTTTATGCATCAGCCTACACCGGTCCAGTTCAATTTCTTGGACGACCAGAGGAATAACAAGCTATAACTTTTGCGAGGTGGGCCTTCGAAGCTATCATGGCTGCTTTCTGCCACCAGATGGTGCCACTTTACGGGGACCTCGAGCGTGGGGTATCGCCATAGGGGGGGTTGGATTCTTTTGGCGACGGTAGTACCAATGTGAAATCTTGCTCTGAGGGGTGGTTCACCCCCTTTTAAAATGTCGCGGTTTTTTCAAGGTTTTCGGGCTTTGGAACGCTCCTCCTGGTACCCAAGTGCGTTTAATACTGCTTACTAATTACTTGGAGTACTGCAGCATGGTCGCGCTCCGTGTTCTACCAATCCTCCCCTCCCAAGGGGTGGTTTACCCCCTAAAATAGCTGTTTCTCCACTCATCCATAATATTGGCATGCGAGGTGTCGTTTCCATATAATTTCATGTCGAGGAAACGAAATTCGAGGTCCAGAAAGCCGTATCTATGAATTTGAACTATCCTAGACACCTATTCGCCTATGAACAAGGTGCAAGACAGGTAGTAAAGTGCCTTCAACCCAAGTACAGACGTAGATTCTAGGGAGATATGGTCAGGAGGACCTAACTCTGATGAAAAATAAGGTCTTGCCTATAAAATTGATCTATCCTAGAAAATTATACTAGGCAATTCCACGATAGAACGCCCTTTTTATATTTTAAGAATTTTTCCTATTCCGACAGAAGCCAGCTCAACTGGAGAACCAAGCAAACGGTGGTTTTCTGCAAAGTCTCAAAGCTGAGGCTCAATTAATTTAGATTCTGCGTAGGTTTTTCTGTTTGAAAACCCATTTAACCCGCTTTTCTAGTATACCATCAGAGTACAGTAATGGTCTTCGTGCGGCTGAAAAAAAATCGTGCTTTGGGCCGACTTCAAGCAGCCACTGCGTCTGATTCGAGGCGGTATTTTGTTCTCCCTCAACGGGCATTTGGTCTTTGGACCTTGCTTTAGCATGCCTTTGTTACGGAGTGCGATTATCAGCCTTAGTTTGGGAGCAGTGTTGGCTCAAAGTTGACCAAAACGGTCAAAAATGCCTTTAAAAAATCGTGTTTTGGCCCGACTTCAAGCAGCCACTGCGTCTGATTCGAGGCGGTATTTTGTCCTCCCTCAACGGGCATTTGGTCTTTGGACCTTGCTTTAGCATGCCTTTGTTACAGAGTGCGATTATCAGCCTTAGTTTGGGAGCAGTGTTGGCTCGAAGTTGACCAAAACGGTCAAAAATGCCTTTAAAAAATCGTGTTTTGGGCCAAATTTAAGCAGCCACTGCGTCTGATTCAAGGCGGTATTTTGTTCTCCCTCAGCGGGCATTTGGTCCTTGGACCTTGCTTTAGCATGCCTTTGTTACGGAGTGCGATTATCAGTCTTAATTTGGGAGCAGTAATGGCTCAAAGTTGATCGAAACAATCAAAAATGCCAAATCACGTTTTTTGGCCGACTTTAAGGCCATTTTTGACCGTTGTGGTCAACTTTGAGCCAACACTGCTCCCAAACTAAGGGTGATAATCGACCTCCGTAACAAAGGCATGCTAAAGCAAGGTGCAAAGACCAAATGCCCGTTGAGGGAGAACAAAATACCGCCTCGAATCAGACGCAGTGGCTGCTTGAAGTCGGGCCAAAACACGATTTTTTAAAGGCATTTTTGACTGTTTTGGTCAACTTTGAGCCAACACTGCTCCCAAACTAAGGCTGATAATCGCACTCCGTAACAAAGGCATGCTAAAGCAAGGTCGAAAGACCAAACGCCCGTTGAGGGAGAACCAAATACCGCCTCGAATCAGACGCAGTGGCTGCTTAAAGTCAGCCCAAAGCACGATTTTTTTTAGCCGCACGAAGACCATTACTGTACTCTGATGGTATACTAGAAAAGCGGGTTAAATTGGTTTTCAAACAGAAAAACCTACGCAGAATCTAAATTAATTGAGCCTCAGCTTTGAGACTTTGCAGAAAACCACCGTTTGCTTGGTTCTCCAGTTGAGCTGGCTTCTGTCGGAATAGGAAAAATTCTTAAAATATAAAAAGGGCGTTCTATCGTGGAATTGCCCAGAATAATTTTCTAGGATAGATCAATTTTATAGGCAAGACCTTATTTTTCATCAGAGTTAGGTCCTCCTGACCATATCTCCCTAGAATCTACGTCTGTACTTGGGTTGAAAGCACTTTACTACCTGTCTTGCACCTTGTTCATAGGCGAATAGGTGTCTAGGATAGTTCAAATTCATAGATACGGCTTTCTGGACCTCGAATTTCGTTTCCTCGACATGAAATTATATGGAAACGACACCTCGCATGCCAATATTACGGATGAGTGGAGAAACAGCTATTTTAGGGGGTAAACCACCCCTTGGGAGGGGAGGATTGGTGGAACACGGAGCGCGACGGTGCTGCAGTACTCCAAGTAATTAGTAAGCAGTATTAAACGCACTTGGGTACCAGGAGGAGCGTTCCAAAGCCCGAAAACCTTGAAAAAACCGCGACATTTTTAAAGGGGGTGAACCACCCCTCAGAGCAAGATTTCACATTGGTACCTCGGGCAGAATCGTTCCTTGTGGTTCCAAGAACACGTGTACAAATTTTCACACTTGTATCATAATATGCCAGATTGTTTCGGTAACAGCCCGCACTAGGCCACAAAGTGGCCCGGGCGACGAGCCTAAACCTAACCGGTGGCGGTGCGACGCGGTGCGTGCCGGCCTAATCCAGGATTGTACCGGGAAGCGCGCGCGTGTGTGAGTGTCCGTGTGTGTGTGTGGTGTTGTCAGCGCGCGAGGGCGTGGTCGGCTTTAAGCGAGCCCAAACCGCACTTGGGTTCAATTACCCGTGGGCATG